GCACTGGCCACTGTCAGAGGTGAGCCGCAGGGCTGGACACCCCTGTGATCAGAGGGGGTAAAGCTGTGTTTACAAGCTGCTCTGTGAGACTGGCCCGTCTGCCGGGCATCCCCGTGGCCCGGGGTGCCTGGTGCTGCTGGCTGCCTTCTGCCCTCTAGTGGGAAGCTCTGCGGGAAATAAGTGCTGCACAGCGGCTCTGCAGGGGTGCAGGGATGTCCCCTGCGCACCTTGTGAGCCCCACTGAACGTCTGGCAGCTCTCCAGAAGCCCGGTCTCGGGGGTGGATAGCGCCTGGAAAGGCAAACCTGAGCTGTCAAAGTCAGGAAAAATATAGAGGAGCTGCTAAACTGCAGCTATTAAAGGCTTAGCCGACTGTGCATCTAATAAGGGTGATGGTGCTGACAAGGATGTGTGGAAGGCCAGTGCTGGGAAAGGTGGATGTGTTCTAACGTTTGTAGGTGGCATGGGAGCTACAGGCAAAACCCAGGGAGCCTGACTGCTGCTGCTTAAAGAAATCAGTGCAAATATTAAAGAAAAAAACCCTGCCCGGAGAATGAGCTGCCACTCACCAGTGGTCAGTAAGCCAAGCGCTGAACAGCCCAGGGTGCCAGTGGAAAAAATGTACCGTGTCTGCGCGAAAGGAGTGTGAGAGCTGCTGTTAAGGTTTTATATCCTGTTAGCAGCCAGATGTACCATTCAAAGAGCCCCCGTTGCTGCCTCACTTTGCACTCTAGCCTTCATCTTCCATGTATGATCCCGGTGGAAGTGCTCCTCGGCACTTCTGCCTCCTCAGTGCCTGTGTCCTGTGCGGAAAGAAATGTCTGATGTTCCTTGTTTACACAGAGCTCAAGCTGCTTCTCTGGCAGGCACCTTTGCCAGTTTGTGGATAACTTTTGGGTAGTTGTGCAGCTCCAGTTCTGCAGGGTGCTTCTAAAGCTGCTGCTCCCCCACTGCGTGTGGTGTACCCCTAAATCTTTTTGCTGAGGCCATAGGTAGGTAAAAATTGTTTTCCTCTCCTTACTAGTTGCTCTCAGGCTTGTGGGCAAAGCACAGGCTCTAACCTGCTCCTCCTGTACTGTGCACAGATGTATTTTCATCCCATGTTCCTTCCCTCTCCACCAGCCTTAGGAACTGTACCTCTGACGTGCATTCCCCCAGCATCAGGGGCTTTACAGATTTGTGGCATTCACCGGAACACTGGCCTTGAGGTGCAACAGTAAAACCAGCCACTGTGAGCAGCAGTTACCTGTTGGGACAGGAGGCTGGGTAAATTTGCAAACAACAGCTGGAGCCAGTGCTTTGCTGCTGGCACTGAATTTCACAAAATGCATGTGTTACAGGAGCTTTGCTTTTCAAGATGAACTCACAGGCCAGGTTTTTGATAATATTATAAGTGTTGCATCAGACTTCAGAACAAAACCTCCAAATTCGTCATTTAACTAGAGAGAAAGGAAACAGCTGGGAAGCTGCAACTTAGAGCGGGGAAAAAAAAAGGAAAAAATGTGCCTAGAATGATGCTTTGGGATGTTTTCAAAGTATGACTTCAGTGTCTGAGAACATACTCTAGAAAATTGCATACTCAGAAAATTTCAGCTTTGAGATTTTGATGCTGTCAGACAGTTAATTCGGTGAGTTCCTAGGCTTGCTCCTTCCCCCTCCCCGTCTTATTTTGATGTGATTGCTTGTGGTTCAGAATCCCAACTTTGAAAGTCAGTGCTTGCTTTGCTTCGCTACGGTGAGTGTGTGTCTGTGTGCATGTGTGTTGGAGCACACGTGTGCCTGCTCCTTAGCCGTGGGCGGTGCTGTCGGGGTGCATGCGTTTGTGTGTCTGTGTCTGTGCTCCTTTTCGTTGCCATCATCGTAGCTGGGGGTGGTGGCAGGGATGGGTGTGTGAGTGCATGTGTACGTACATCTACTCCTGTTTGTTACCTCCTCAGCCAGCAGCCATGGTGGGGTGTGTGCTCCTGCTTAGTACCAGGTTGAATAAGGAGGTAGAGCAGAAGAAGTGAAAAGCAGGAGCTGCTTTATTTTGTGACATGTTTAAAAAGCCAGGACTAGGAAAGGGGATTTTTGACTAACTGACCATCCCAGTTAGTGGTGGAAAGAAGGCAGCATTTTTGAAGATAATACCAGGAAATGACAAGTATCTCTCACCAGCAAACGATCAGTAGTGGTGTGTAGGAGTACTGGAGTTCTAGGAGACTGTCGGACTGTCCTGTTAGGGCTCACTTTCTTTGTTTCTGTCAGTCACTCTTGCTGTCAGTGTTACACAGTCATGTTCACCACAACTCAATATAGAGGAAGTCCTTGCAGTAGTTCCACAGCTCAAGAGCAGTTGCTACTTTTTCTTCTTAATTATATGAGCAAGTAGATCCAGGTTTATAACTTATCTACCAAAAAGTTCAGTGACTTGGGGGGTTCACACAGTGATCAGTTCTGGGTGAGCCCATGAGGTAGTTGCTGTGGGATTTGGCTGAAGTGTTCAGAGCCATACCGTTCTGATCGCTGGGGAGCGATCCTGGGCTACAGAGATCTGCAGGGATTAGTGTGAGACCCACTGCTGTCCAGTACTGGCACTAAACACCTAGTGGTGACACCAATCTGGGTGATGCAGGGATTGGTTAAGTAACAGATCAAAAGGGGGTCATCAGGGACAGCCAACCTACTAGGGAGCACCCTTTTAAAAATTATGTGCTCTCGTGCTGCAAATAAAGACATTTAGACTCCAGAACATGCATGCTACTCCCTGTGGGAAGGGCAGCGGTATTTTAAAAAGCACTGTTCTGAGAAGGTATTGGAGTTGCAGGGTACAAGCTATACCTGAGTTAGTGAGATCTTCAAGTGCTGTAGAGGGGGATGAGCAGAGGGTGGAAGGAGGTAACCACCTTCCTGCATGTGGTATGGGAAGGACAGGGTCTCCCACTGTATGAAAGAGATCTTGAAAACTGGAGAGGGGCAGAAAGAGAAGAAAGAAGCTTTAAAGTGCCTTATCTGAGATAAAAGAGCTGCCCAAGTGGGCAGAGCTGATCAGCATGCACATACTCTTCCCCAAGGAAAAATACCAGGTACTGACAGGACTCCTGAGTGCCTCAGAGAGGAGCATGAAGAACTAATGAGTGGATTAGTTTGGGTAAGGAGCGTGTTTTCACAGTGAGAACAACTGCCAGGTAGAATTATAATCTTTCGATATCCTCAAATTAAGACTAGATATCATTATGGAAGTTTTAATCTTTTGGGGATAACTTTTCCATGCAGGTAACAATCATGACTCAATCAGTGCTGTATGGAAAATATGAGCAGATGTTCTGTCCTTGCCTTACACATTCAAGCCTCATTCCTCTCTGTGGCTTTCCTAGGGACTAAGGACAGTTGAAATTAGCACTGGCTAGTGATGGTGTTAGCCAAGCTTAGCCTCTTTGCAAACTTTTTCTTAGTACATCTGGTGTAGTTGCTGTACCCCGTCGTTCTGGCCAGCACTCAGTCCTGCCCTCTCTGCCCTAGGGGTGGCCTCCTTGTCTTTGGCCACGCTCCCCACAGCTCACTCCTAGCCTTGCCAAAGTATTTCTGGGGAGAAAGAAGCCTGTCCTAGATCGTAAGATTTCTCCCTTCCTACAAGCAGAGGCTCAGAGGGGATGGGTGGACAGGGATGGGATCACTGATTGCAGTGCTGGGGTGCACAGGGTACGAGGGCTTAGGGGGCTGTAGCCCTGGGCCTTGGCTGAAGGAACCCAGCCCATCTGGCAAAGAGGTGGGCAGAGCTGGCCTGCACTAACAGCTTCCTGACTTCTGGTCTCCACCATGCCCTGCTGTCCAAACACAAAGGACAGAGCAGCAGGGTTGCAGTTACAGTCCAGCAAACCTTCTGCACAAGCTAAAATCATTTTAGCAGGGAGGTCAGGCATGTGGTAGGAGGTGAGTGCTTGCTAAGCCCTAAACCTGTCCTTCAGTATCAGTATGGCTGTCTGTCCTTCCCTTTCCAGTGTTGTTCCACCTCTGGGCTGTTCTACACTGTTGCTGTACATTAGCATAGCAAGAGCAGGGTTTTTTTGTTCTTAAAAAAAAGAAAAAAAAAGCAGGGGCAAGTAGATTTGACGAGTGTGTCAGACAGAAAGGTATTGGAGAATAGCCCATCTGTTCTCAGGAAGGGTGGCCTAAATCTCAGGTACAGCACACTGGTACCCACAACAGTCCTGGGTGCCACTGGGTGCAGCCATGCAGATGTTGAACGTGGAGCACAGAGGCTAGCTTGCAAAACATGACAGTGCTGGTGTTGCTTGTGAAAACATGTCTGGCCTGTGCTCCCTGACACATGGTTCCTCGCGAGTAGTCTCCGTGGGAGTCCTGCTGCAGGCTCCTAGGCAGGAGGGCTGGGTGGCTGGCTGTCTTACAGGCACTGACTAATCCTCTGAGCAGCGAAAGTAGCTCTTCTCAGTCAGCCTCAGGCTCCTTCGTGGGTTTTTCCTGGAAGTGCCGTTTACCATGCTGAGTGCCTGGGATTTGAGGCTGTCAGGGTGGCTCTGCTGCACAAGGCTTCCTGCAGGGCTGCTGCCTCCCAGCTTCCCGAGTCAGCTCTGTGTGATACTGTCCAAGAGAAGAGCTGAGTTGTGATGTCTGCATGGGAACATTTGCCTTAACTAAGTCCAGGATAAGAGTGGATTTAAGTGCTTTGGTTTATAAATAAACAGCACTGTGGCCAAGGTAGATTTAAGCAGAGCTGGCAACAGCCCTGCTTGGGAAGGGATCTCTTTACCACATGGCCTGTTGTTGGACTTCCTGTCGTATGCTAATCCCTTAAGCCTACTTTAGCTCCGTTAATTTTCCTTCTTTCCTTTTTTCCTCTGATGGGCTGTCTCGGTGACGCGTGAATGCCAGTGTTCCTCGGCCAAGCTTCTGCCTGCGGCTGGGCCAAGCATCCAGGCTGCCTTCCGAGCACCGGGTACCATGTGGCAGGGTCCCAGGGATGGTGGTGCCTGAATGTGTCCCATTCTCTCTGTCTTACAGGCTCTGCAGTCTACGCCTGAAGAAACTCACGGTGCTGAAAGAGCTGGACAAAGAGCTGAGCTCTGTGCTTATCGCTGTGAAGATTCAGGTAGGCTCCTCTCCTTGCTGCTACCTGAGGGCAGCAAGCCCATCCTTGTGCCGTCTGTGAAAGTGCTGGTCTGCATGTCCCTTGCCTTGTGCCAACCCATTGCTTCTGTCTCTGTTAGCACCCCTGGGGAGATTTTGACTCTCAGGCAGGTGGGGCTGACACCCCAGGGACAGCAGCAAGCTGCCTGGTGCTGGTTTGTATCAGGGATGAATATGGTTAGGCGTCTGCACTGGGACAGAGCGCGTCTTGCTTCCCTGGCTGCCTCAGCCGAAGCCCTCCTCTCCAGCTGCTGTTTGGAGTTTGGCATCCCCTACCCCACCATTCCCGACCTGTTAGACAGGCTCAGTGCTGGGTGGTTCTGGCAGTGCCCTCCATCTGGATCCCCTCCTGGGAAGTGAAGGGTGGAAAGGAAAGGATGCAAGGGATCAGCAGCTCTGTGCATGACGTCTGCTGATATTTGCACCCTGTGTGATCTCACTGCTGCCTCTGCTGTTCCTTCTCTTTCTCTGTGCATCCCCACTAGGCCTGGTGCCTCTGCTCTGAACCAGGCAGAGGGGAGGGGAGAGGATCTTTGTCACCAAAGGGAGAGGGAATTTGCTGCCATCTTGGTGTGTGCAATCCTCTCCCCTCCCTCTCTGCAGCTGGTGGTGAAGAGATGGGTCCCTGTGGGTGCAGGCGCGTCCTCTTCACCTGCCAAAGGACAGCATGGAAGCAAGATGCCTCTTGAGTATGCTGTCCTTGCCACAGCTCCCCTAACCTAGCTGGGATGCTGGTGTCCTTCCTTCATTCTTGTCAGCTGGCAGAAAAGCTGCTGATCCCATTGAAAGCACTGTGGGGCGGGAGCTCAGCAGCTTTGCACTCCTACAGAGCTCTTTGTGCTGCACATATTAGTATCTAAATCCTGGATTAGTCCTGGAAGCTGCAGTATTAGTGGAGCTCTGGAAGCTGGGGTTTGCCTTCATGGCAGACCTGATTCACTTGCACAGAAAGAACTGAAAGCAAAATGTGTTAAACCTGGGGCCTGGATAGAGGGCAGCAGGAGGGTGTTGTGGTCCACACACTATTGGTCAGTGTCCCACTTTGTTGGCCTTTCTGTTACTGTGTGTATGGTGTCATTCAGGAGAGCTGAAAGCGCTGGGCTTTCAGCCCTGAGACCTGTGCCCCTTTGGTGCAGGCTTTAGCAAGGGGACAGCCTCAGCAGGAGAGAGCTGCCTGGCCCCTGGAGATGCGGGAGCGACCAAGGCTGGGCCACAGGTGCCAGCAGCATGGGACTGGGGGGCTGGGAGCCAGCTGGGGGCTGTGGGTCCCACGTGGCTGGGAGGGCTAGGCTGGTCCCTCACTCCTGTTATCTCCTGCACTGTCAGCCCAAGCTGTCTGTGCTTCTCTGGGCTGGGGAACCTGGGGCTCCTGTGCAGCCCCTCTTTGCTGGAGCTGCCATGTGCTGAGTACGTACGTCCTCAGCTGCCCCCCCTCTCATGCACTGCAAATGTGAGACTGTGGAAGAAGCTGCACAGTGGGACTCCAGCTCTTTCAAACAGATCAGCCCTGTTCCTGCTGCAGGCCAACCTTGCACCCTATTGGCCGAAGAAATCAACAGCCCTCAGCAGCGACTGTTTGAGGCCACAGGGGCTCTTCACTGCAGGGCTCCTTTCCCTGCCAGAGAACAGAAGCTACATTCAGGGTCTTAATTTAAACATGGTCACCTCTTCTCTGCAAGGCCACATACCGGTGTCTGCACGCTGGGGTAGGCTCCCTGCAAAGCTGAAGGAACCTGGAGGAGAATGCTTCTGTTTGCATTACCTTGTGGCTCGACAGTCACTGTGGGAGTGGGGTGGATTTCTGTGCCTCCCCAGGCTACTTCCACCTGCCTGAGCAGCCACCTTGGCAGGGTCAGGGACTGCTGAGCCTTCCTGGAAGGCAGATGGAAGCTGTAGGCAGCTTCAGCGCGGCCTGCCTACAGAATGGCCTCAGATGGATCCATCCCTCCTGCTCCTCTCCTAGGTAACAGATGAGTCACACTAGCAAGAAGCTGTTTGAAGGCTGCCCAGTGAGCGTTGCCATCTCCGTCTTTTGGATGGAAACAGCTGATGCATGTAATTTGGGGAGGATCTGCAAGTTCCCAAGAGGGTGGGACTAGTGGAAAGGGGAGCTGTATTTTCTCTCATTTCAGTAGTAGCTGTGAGTGGGGCTGGCACCAAGACAATAGCCCCAGCACTGGAGACAGTCTGCTCAATCTAAGTCTGCTCTATCTAAGCCCGTCTAGAATATCTGATCTCATTCTCACAGTGATCATGCCCTTTTGGTCTTAAAAGACAGCTTCAAAGTGCGGCACGTGCTGTTATCTGTCCCTTCATCTGAAAAGGCCGCTGTCAAAGGACTAAGGGTGCTTTCTACATCTACAGAATATGCCCATTTCCCAGAGGTGGTCTAAATATTTAATGTTCAGTGGCTTCCAGTGAGATAAAGTCTGAATTGCTGTGAAAAAGGGGACTTACTCTTATGCCACTTGAGTGATTTTAAACCTTTATCCCTCATTGTTTAATTTAACAGACTGGAGATGTCACAGAGCATTTCTTTCTGTGTATTGTTCAGTGTGGCATTAAGAGATTCAGATGTGGCTGGCTCAGCTCCATTAAGGTGCGGATACCTGTCTTGGCATTACACCTCATTGTGGTGTGAAGGGAAACATGGTGCTTCCTCTCAGGAGAGAGACTTACCGTAATTCAGAAACACCCAGTCTTGAGTCACAAATAGAGGAAACATTCAAAGAAAGGAGAGAGTCAAGCGGAGAGCTATGAGGATGACGAGAGGACTGGAACATCTCTCCAACGAGGAAAGGCTGAGGGAGCTGGGCTTGTTTAGCCTGAAGAAGAGAAGGCTGAGAGGGGACCTTATAAATGCTTCTAAATATCTTAAGGGTGGGTGTCAGGAGGATGGGGCCAGACTCTTTTCAGTGGTGCCCAGCGACAGGACAAGGGGCAACGGGCACAAACTGAAGCAGAGGAAGTTCCGTCTGAACATGAGGAAAAAATTCTTCCCTCTGAGGGTGACGGAGCACTGGAACAGGCTGCCCAGGGAGGATGTGGAGTCTCCTTCTCTGGAGATATTCAGGACCCACCTGGATGCAGTCCTGTGCAGCCTGCTGTAGGTGACCCTGCTTCGGCAGGGGGGTTGGACCAGATGACCCACAGAGGTCCCTTCCAACTCCTAACATTCTGTGATTCTGTGAGAAGAAAAGCCCCAGCACTCCCAGAACTTTCGGCTCCTGTGACAGGTGCTGTGGGAGAGATGCAGATCTTCTTGCAGCTGCTTGCAGGATGTGGCTGGTGACTCAGGTTCAACCCTTGGTGCTGCTGTAGAGGGATGATGCTGGCAACCCCTGCTTAGCGGACCAGAATGTGTGCTGCAAAGCAGGCCAGGCTGAGAAGCTCGTTTGCCTCTACCAGGCCTGCCTGCTACCCTGGCCCTGCTCCCTGGAGGAACCTGGATTTTTTGCTCATGCTTGCTATGCATGGAAGGTACATGCAGAGTTTTCTGTCTACACCTCACTCGTGCTTTGTTTCTAAACTTTTTGCAACTGCTTGTAGGATTTTCCACTCCTGCCTGAGCAATCCCAGCTACCCCCGAAATAACTAAATTTGCTGATGATATTTAGTGGGCTGTTCTCTCCCAAAATGCACCTTTAGCTTGAATTCTGAGTAGTGCTTTGTTGTCTGCCTTGGCCTGGTCTCCCATACTGTGTTAGTTCTCCTTTTCCAGGTTTGGTATGCTCTTCTAGCCTCAACTCCATGTTTTAAAGAAGACCCATCAGGACAGATTTATACCTGAAATTGGGGATAGTACGTTGCAAGCCACACCTGGGCATCATATGCCTGTGTATAGTAGTGAAAGCTTCTGTATGTTTTCAGTCTATTCGGTAGTGAAATTCTGTTACCACAACCTCTCCCTATTGCTTTCCACTTCCTTGCAGTCTGTGTCATCTGTGATCTTCACTGTCACAGTCTAATGTTAAGTTCTCCTGTAGTACTGATGGTGGTACTCAGCTGTTCTGCTGAGAAGTTGGTCTTGCCTGACATTACTTGAGTTGCAGAACAGCTGAGCTACATCAGATGCTTAAGGCCGTGTCCAGTTGAGGTTTGAATTTCGCAAGTGATGGAGAATCCTCAGTCTTCCTGTGTCCTGTCCCAAGGTTTGCTTGCACTCACAGAGAGAAGAAAAAAAAAATAATCTCAAGATCTAATGGTAATTTCCCATGTTCCAGCTCATGCCCTTTGCCTCTCACTCTGTCCCTGTGCACCTCTGAGAGAAGTTCAGTTCTGTCTTCTCTGCACCCTCCTGCTAAGTGTCTGTAGGCAGCAGTAGAATAACCCTCCACCCTCTCTTTTTCCAGCTGAACAAACCCAGCTCACTTGCTCTCTCCTGTCCTGTGCTCCAGCCCATGACCATCCTGACGTCTTCTGCTGGACTTGCTCCAGTCTGTCAATGTCTGTCTTGTACTGGGGAGCCCAAACCAGCTCTTGAATCCAGTTGTGGTGTCACCAGTGCTGAATAAAGGGGTGGAATCCCTTTTCTCTGCCTGCACATTTGCTGAGGCTGAGATGGGTGTCGTTGCTGCAACAGGGCATGCTGCCCATCTAGGAGTACCTTGATGTCCCTCCGGATCCCCTCTGTCCCTTTCTGTGGAGCCTGTTCGGCTGTCTGGGGTTCTTCCCAGGCAGCAAAGTCATGGGATGACCTAGGGAAGGACTTTGCTTTTGCTTTTATTGAACCTCGAGAGGTTTGTGTCAACCTTACTGGAAATCCCCAATTCTTCTGAACTCCCTGTTGCTGATAGGCGGGTAGTAGCCTCCAGGTGCAAGTTTCTAATCTGTTTAGTTGGAGCAATGCTAGGTTCTGCTGGGTCGTGGTTTGCTCCTGAAGGTGATCAGTGTTTCCTACGGGATATGTGCATGCTATCCATTTCATGAATCCTGGCGTACCTTGCAGGCTGAACTTGAGCTTTAGGTAGTGTCTCTACCTTGCTGTAAGGGCTGTACCTCAGGCATTTGCAGTACAATGTCTGGCCCTTTTTCTACCCCATGTCCCGAGTGCTACACTCCATGGTGCCCTGGGAGCTGGTCCTCTGAGCTGAAACGTTATGATCTCTTCCCTTCATGTGGTCCCACAGGCAAGATATCTCCTAGGGCTTGATCTCAGCCAGGTTGCAGCCTGAAAGGTCATTGTACCCATAAAGAACTGGCGCAGACCTAGAAAGTGCTGCTGTTTAGGGGTCTCTGAGCTCCGCTGCTGCTCCTTTATGCTTGGACTGTGATAATGAACCAGCCTTTGTCCCAGTCCTTGCAATGCCACATGGATGTGCACTGGTGTTTCACTGAGGGCCAGAACCAAGGACTGGAGCTGGGTGTGTAATTTCCATAATGGCAAAGGGCAGTAACACGCAGGACAACAATGTTTATGAAACCTTCACTCGCTGAACGCACCACCCAGGCTGTCCTCACCTTTCCTTTGCTGTAACTCTGTCCCCAGAAATAGCATCCTCAAGAAGAATAATTGCACCAGTATGTGTGGTTTGATGAAAGAACATGTCTTTGGTGGATAGTCTCTCTGAACAAACAGCGCATGGTAAATGTGCTAAAGTAAATGGGCACTGTCATAGTGACCACCTGTCATCTCTTATTAAAGAAGAGTTCAGGAAGGAAAAGGCAGTGCATTCTTGGCCAGGTAAGCTCACAGGTGGTGAAGGGGATGAGCTTCACCTCCTCTCTTCAGTTTTAGGAAGACCTTTCACAGGAAAGTCTCACTCCTGCTACAGTTCCTGGGATCAGTGGTGCAGACAGCTCAGGCTGGGCCTTCTGAAAACCAAGGAGAGTTTCACTAGAGCTTGTCTTTGCTGTGGTGTCAATGAGAACTGTAGTGCTGAATCACTGCAAAATGTGGAGGCCTTTCTTGCCTCCTCTCTATAAGTTGGTTGGTTTTTTTAGTCTTGCTAGCTTGGGTAACACCAGCAACGGAGGTGCAAGTAA